TGAAGCACTTCTTTGGACAGACGATTTAGCGTGGGACGTGGAGGTACCATCAAGAAAGCACCAACGATACCTCCTAGGTTCAAATAACTGACAACGCAAGTTTACCAATGGTGCTAACGGGCCGGTTATTTGACGTCTTGTATAATTTGACGATTCTCAATTTACAAATACCCAATACCACATAATTTCACACCAATCGTTCAGTTGAAACACAATGCATTTTCTAGAGTTAACACGAACTAAATGGACAGGTTGCTGTTAGTCCGTTCCTCACCAGTAGTCACACTGTTAAAGTGGACTTGAGCACAAATCGAAAAAAAAGGGCTGAGCAAGAGGTTTGCAAGAACAAGGGGACAAGAGCTCGAAAAATGGTGAGGACAACTAGAAGTAGCTGACGGTTTTTATTCGTAGTGAAAGTCGAGGCAGTGATGGTAGCGTCACCGAATAGGTAAAATCACAGGTCAATTCTGTATTTTGTCGCTCAGAAGGAACAGAATAAAGGTTTCAGAATTCGGCGTATAGTTGGAGCACAAAAAGGACTAGTTCAGGCCATCGACTACCTCAGAAGGAGTCAGCTTTAACTCGCGGGCCGTTGCAAGAGCAAAGGGACAAGAGCTCCAAGTGTGGTGAGCAAAACTAGAAGTACCTGACGGTTAATATCTGTTATGCAGACAGCGAAGAATTGTGAAAGTTGAGGCAGTGATGGTGGCGTCTTCGCAAAGGCCGAATCGTAGGTCAATTCTCCATGTTGCCGCGCATTAGGTACAGAATACAGGTTAAAGAATTTCAGGGACGAGAAGGGTACAAAAGGGACTTGTTCACGACTACGACGAACTTCAGTGGAGTCATCTTTAACAAGCAGACCGTAACATAAGAATATCATAAGAATACAAAAGAATTGAGCACAATCCAGTCTTGCCTGCGCTGACCTAATGGCGCACGTTACACCCTTAACTACTAAAAGAGCACTGCAAACACGGCGTAAAATGCTTAATCGTAGTCAGTGACTAGCACGATGTGGGACAACTATTCCCTCAGTGGTATCAGTCAAGTGCACAGTACAGATTTGTGAAATCAAGTATATTTTCTTCAGTTACAGCCGCTTAAACCCGTGTATCAGGGCATTGCTGTCCCATTAACACTCAGCAAGACACATAGAACAATTGAAAAATGTCCAAAATATTGTCGATTACTTTTTTCGTGTTAAAAATGTGCTGCATTTGCCTAAAAGCATGACTTATTTATGAATTAAATGTGCAGAAATATGTGCATTGTGAATGTTCCATTGCTAAACTAATTAGGGCATCAAACTTTATCAAAATCATCAAGGAAATCAAAATCCATTTCTCTCTGGAAAATCAATACCTGATTACAGGAGTTTGCCACAAAGACAGCTGGATTTATAAATTCCCGTTGCTATTTCATTCAGTCACCAAGTTATTCAAAATGTAGTTCATCATACTGAGGCACCAAAATGAAGGGACGGAATCCGAAGATCATGCTGAACTTCCCTGTGTTCGGTCATGGCCCACTTAAAGTCATTGTAGGTACCTGTGCCCTACTCGTATTAAGTCCATTTTAATGTAGCGTCCCATAAACTCCTACAGGCGTGATAAACTCCTTACTGAATGCTTTAAAATTGCAGTAACTCTCTAATGAAACATAACTGTACAGTTAGAATGCCACTATAAGATACTCCAAGAGATGCGGTTGTTGTACTACGTTTGCAGGCACACTTGTGATGTATTCCATGTCAACAGCGATTTATGCAGTGTCCTCTTCAGCAAAAGAGTTGCTTTTGGCAGAAGTTGATACTCCACCGGCAGCACGCCAGTGGAAACATTTTGCATTCCAATGCCAATTAAATACTTCAAATCGACGATTGTTAGCTCTCACCTCTTCGTAAGCAGTACAAGTTAAACCGCCTTCTCGAATAAGATTTGGATATCTGC